GCTGACCAGATGTGTTGAAGTCACCTCAGTCTAGGCAAAGTGACCTGCCCCCCTTGGTGCCTCGGTGCGTGGTCCTGGCAGGCCATTTCCTGGGGCGGCTGAGTTGGGGCTTTGCTCATCCCCTGATGGGCCCCAGAGCAATGTGGCCAGAGCCCAGGGATTGGGGCATGTGGGTTGCACCAGGCCCAGGGGTGGGAGGGCTGCCCAGGCAGGGGCAGGTCTGTGAGGCAGGGAAGGGGAAGCAGGAGTCCAGGGGGAGCCCTGGCGAACTGGGGGGGGCAGTCACCCACGGGCCCAGGCCAGGGTCTGGGGGCCGAGGCGTGCTGTGCTCGCTGGGGACGGGACAGTCAGCAGAGGAAGCCGGGCCAGGGGCTTTCTCGTGGGGGTACTCCAGGGACTCGGCAGTTACAAGAGGGGTGGAATCTCTACCTGTAAGGGTAGAGGCGCCGCTCCAGATGGGCCTTCAGGAGGAGGACTTCCGGGTCCATCGAAGGAAATTCTAAGACTCACACTTGAAACCCCACATGGAGCATCACTGGGTTCGGTATGAAAAAGGGAATAATTATAAAACTCTTGCATTTCTTCAGAGGTTTCATAGATGACAGTTATTCATCAGAGCACAGTGTGGACAAAGTCTGGATCCAGCTCCAGCAGTGCAAACCCCGCCTCTGAACAGGGTGAGGGGGTGCCCCGATGGTCTGTCTAGACCTGCTCTCAGAACCACTCCCAGACCCACAGGCCCTGGCGTGGGCTCGGCACCGGGGAGGGTCCAGCACCCAGGCCTGCTGGTTACCTCAGATGTGGCTTCCCCAGAGCACTGAGGGCCCTGGGGGTGGGCCTCAGGGAAGCCAGAGACCTCTCTGCTCCCTCTCCCTGGGGGATTCTGCAGTTTGGGCCCTTGGAGGCCCAGTGAGAGAGACTTCTTTTATCATTCAAATCCCCTCTGGAATCAAGCCAGTGAAGCTTGGGCATGACTTCCAATGCTGCCACGGGGGTAGCATCTTCACCAGGCCCCCACCAAGTTATTAAGAAGAGAACCTCCCTCCTCCCCAGGCTGAGCATCCAGCGGGAGTAGCCAGCCAGAACTTAGCCCTGGAAGGAAGCCAGCTCAGAACAATTCCTTCCCCTTCCCTTCCTTCCTTCCTTCCTTCCTTCCTTCCTTCCTTCCTTCCTTCCTTCCTTCTTCCTTCCTTCCTTCCTTCCTGTCTCTGGGGCACAGTGTGAGCGGGGGTGACGGGTTTGCATTTATTCAATGCAGGTCAGATGCCAGACCCCGCTATACCACCCTGGCCAGCCCAAGGCCCAGGGCCCACCAGCTGCAGGCGTAAAGAGTGGAGGCTCCCGGGGCAGAGCCCAGGGAGGCGCCAGGGCACGGAGGGGGTTCGCCAGGGCACAGAAGGGGTGTGCCAGGACACAGAGGGGGTGCCAGGGCACAGAGGGTGTGTGCCAGGGCGTCTAGACCAGGGTCAGAAGGGAGGTCTTGCCTCCAGGTCCTTCACCATCATGCAGGCTTTCGGGGCAACTGCAGGGCGATAGCAGGGTCCCGCTCACAGGGCCACCAAGGAATTGTGCACATAAATGTCGCTGCACTTGGGTAGGGCAGGTCAGAGCCTGTCAGCTGAGCTGCAGTCCTAGCAGCCTGCTCACGGGTGGGGTGCACCCTGTGCTGGCCCCACGTCCACCTAGGGGAGCTGCTTTCCATTCATCAGGGTCTCCCCAGGAAAAGCGTGAAACTACCAGGACATTTGTTTCCCATAGCAGGGAAGCCAGGAGCCCTGCCCAGCAGCCCAACAAGTCACGTCCCCAGCCCCCAGAGAGGGCCTGTGAGCCCGGGGTTGCCCAGTGACCGCCCATGGGCACCTCCCCACCCAAAAGCCCCTGGCAGCGGCCACAGGCCCTGGGCTCACCTGGAAAGAAAGTCAGAGCAGGGCCGTGCACCCTGCGCCTGTAATGGTTAGGATTTCACCTTCAATTTCCAAAAAAGTATTTTTTGATTTTGCTTTTTAAGGGTCCAGCTCTGATCACATTACTTCTTACAAACTTTGAAAATGTGCTTATTTCTAAGCAAAATAACTGAAGATAAACTTGTACTTTTTTTTTTTAAAGATTTTTCTTTATTTATTTATACAAGCACTGGGTATAGTTAGAAGAGTGGGAGGGCGAGAGAATTCACCAGAGCCAGAGCGGGGAGCACAGCAGGCAGAAGGACCGAATTACACTGCTGAGGGGCGGCAGGAGAGGGCTGCGCACCATGTGGGACACTCCTCCAGTAGCCAGAGCAGCCAGGGATCGAACCGGCGCCGCAGAGGCCGTGGGCAGCTTCGCAACCCAGCGCTCAACCACTGCGCCACCGGGGAGGCCCTAAACTTGTACACTTTTTCATTGCTTTGCCTCGTGCTGATTTGCCTCTTGGAAAACCCTCTTTTTAGGTTGCCACCTCCACACCAGCTGGCAGGTTGCTCTCCCTTTACGTCCTGCAGTGGGGATGGCTTCTCTCTGCACCCCGATGCTCACCTGCTGGGTTAGGGAGGACCTGGGGTTCCCATTCTCGGTGCTCACTGAGGTGAGCAGGGGCTGTGCCCCGACGGCCAGGCTGTGGTCCCCACAGGGAGAAGGTGGGGCACAGGGCAGGGCCTGCGGGCAGGCAGGGTTTGGTGTCTGGGCAGCGCTGGCTGGTGTCCAATACCCAGGTGGGGCTGGCCCCAGAGTCCGCGGGGACACGGGCTGTCCCTCAGGCACACGGCCTGCAGTGCTGTCCCCTGAAGCCGCTGGCCCTAGCAGCACACTGGCCAGAGAGGCCTCTGAATAAAATGTGCACAGGAGACATTCTCGAATCATTGAATCACTTAAAAGAGCAAGGGCGCTGCTCTTGAGGTCAGACAGGTGTTGCCTCACTGCTGGGGTGGGGGTGGCCAAAGGGGCGGGCGGGTGGTGCATGGCTCCAGGCAAGAGCCGTGCTCTGAGACACAGAGTGCACACCAGGCACCCGCTACAGAGTGAACACACCTGACAGGTGCACGTACCTGGGGCTCCTGGGTGTCCCTGGGGGCAGTAGGCAGGGGCAGTCTGGCCCCAATCCAAGTGCCATGGACAGAGGAGTGAATGCATAATGTGGGTCCACACTCAATGGAATACTACACGGCTCTTAAAAGTGTGATCTAGTACCCTTAGGGAACAAAGTGAACTTGAGGTGCGTATGCTAGTGAGATAAGTTAAAAACTGAAACATATTGGCTGGTGTCATAACATAAAAAGAAAGTAACTATGGAAATACAGTGGCAAACAGCAAAAGGAAATGCTGGACTGAGTGCAAATATTTGCTCATTACCAGAAAGAACCAGGGAGGAAATTAGGAGTGTGGACAGAGGGGCCAGACACTGTGGGGCATTTAGTAGATTCTGAGTGGACACTGCTGCATATGGAGGAGTGAAAAGTGACCACGGAAAAGCACAGTAAAAGTCTAAATGAGTCTTGACCTTGATAAGAAGAAGGCAAATTAACATGACTTTGCGATGAAAACTCATGGTAAGATCCCTACTCACAGACACTCACTGCATTTGTTCAAGGAAAAATATAAAATACATCAAGAGGAATCTGACCAGGGAATATGTCATATCTCAAGGGGTGTGGACTGTGCTCTCGTGCTATCACTGAAATGAATACTACTTTGAGTGATTTTCTAACTCAGTTTCATTCTGAAATTTGAATGGACGAGTCATGTCTTGTGAATCATTACATTTATTATCACAAATAGTTTTCATGGACAAAATGTGCTCATTGATCAGGAGAGTTTGGAGACACAGTGACCTGCTCCAGAGAGGTGGAACGTCACCCCCAGCTCACATTCCAGTGTTAGGGAAACAATATGAGAACACCCGTACATGTAGTGCAGATGTGTGGAATTATTAAAAAATAGCAAATATCACCAAGCTTAGTTTGCATAAAGTTTTACATAATAAAAAAAACACAGTTCCCAAGTGGAAGAAAAGTGAACTTAAGTGTAATCTACAAGAAGGTGGAGAAGACATGGTAGAGGATCAAGATACAATCTGGAAAAATAAGGAACCTAAATATCACACAATGACAAGTTACACATTATAAACTTTTATCTAGAAATGTAGTTCTTCAAAGATAATTCATCTAACTTTATTTTGAGAACACCATCTCAGGGAATGCAGTCACATTGGCATACAAACAGGCATCATAGAGATTAATATTCCATCCATTCAGGTTTCACTCATAGATACCTACTAACCAAGGCAGTGTCCATCCTTCCTCCTCAGGCATAGTCACGTGTGGTTTCCTTTGTCCTTTGAGCAGGAACAGGACTTCTCCTAGAGGAGATGCCCTGTTACAAATCAAGAGGTGTGGGGGACCCACCAGTCTCCACTCCCTCCCAAGTCGGAACAATCAGTGGAGACAATAGGCTGAGGAAACCCAGTGCCCAGGA